GCAGTTNCTTGGGAGACACACAAAGCTAAAAAGGNGGAGATTGAAGATGCAGTGGCTGTAGCAGGAACCTGTAGCAGCACCAGATGAGAGAATTTCAGGAGAAGGGCGAACAGGCTGGTGGGCTTTAAGCGTGATGTGCTGTTGGAGTGAGTCGGTCCAGGCAAGGAAGGGCGTGACTTGCACCCAAGGAAGGCTGGAGGATATCTTTGGAGAAGATTTACTCAAACTTGAAGGTTTCTTTATTCTTATGAGAAGATAAGGAAGGTGTATCTACCCATGAAGATTTGAAGAGATAGTGAATCTTCCAAGGCTAAGGCTAGGGCAAGCCGCAGGCCGTTTAGTATATATAGGTTGGGGTTAACTCGAGGGAAGGGTTAACACAACGAGAGAAATTCTTAGCAAAGGGATTCAAATATAAAAGAAATCTTGTATCAAGGGCTAAGGGGTAAAGAGAGGTTCACGATATCAAGTGTGATTCGTGAACAGGGTAGACTAGGATTGAGTGAANGCAATACGTGTAAGTATTCAAGTCATCAATACTAGTAAACGTGTTTTGAGAAAACCCTTGTGTTGTGTTCTGTTTCTACATCAGTATTATATTAATCTCTGTAGTAGTAGCTGATACATTTTCACCAGCCGCCGTCGCCAACTCGTCATCCTCATCTTCTGTGACCGTCGCCGCGAGGGGTAAGAGGAGACGAAAAGACAGCGACGTTGGAGTTAGAATCAATTTTTTAACAGAACACATGTCTTCTTCTTGTGTGACCACTTGTCGGCCCCTGGAGAGTGTTATTCTTCTATTATAGTATAGATGGATTCCTATTTTCACTCACTTGGGTGTTCTACTCTCTGTTTAATTGAGTTATTAATTTTTGTTTTCCCTTACGTACGTCATATTCTTAAATAATGACACACAAATAAAATAAAAAACAATAACAGTTCGTAACCATTTGCGTTTCTTAAATACAACCCTATCCATTTTTTGATCTACCAGTGACATGAACACTTAAACTATGCAGAAATTATAAGATTTGTTCATTTAATGCTTCGTTTGCTAGCTTCGTATATGAATTTTTCTTATGACCATGCTTCCGAAACAAATATTAAACCTTAGATGTACTTGATTTTTTCATCATATTAATCTTTATAATTTTCATCAATCCTGTTGGGATATCAATCCAAGTCCCACATCGGAAGTTTACACAAGAATTGTCTAATATATAAAAGATGTCCAACTCTAATTAGAATGAGGCTTTTTAGGAAGGAGCCCAAAAACAAATCCGTGCGGGTTCTGCCTCTGGGCCCAAAGCGGACAATATCTTACTAATTGGAAAAGTTGGACATGGGTTAGAAAAGCCCCACAAATCCCAATACAATTAATCTTATACAATTCATATATTACCCCAATCATATTTACTACATATAATCATGTTATTAGTCTTTATAATTTTCAGTGAGAAAGGTGTTTTAGTTAAAACTTAAGGAGGTAGATGTTGGTGTGTAAAAATTGCTTCAACTTTTTTCCATGTGGTCAAAATAAAACTATGTTTCCTGTAAAAAAATTGTGTTTTTCCCTTTCTTTTTCACAGAGGTGTCGTGCCTTGAGAACAAAAGAGACAAAGCAACTTAGAAAAATGCCAGAAGTGGAGCAGCATATTAAAAGTAGACCATATATCATAGTTTTAGTGAATCTATGAAAGACGAGTTAAGGAGGTCCTCCTGGAAGTGACTAAACCAAATGGTGAACAAGATATCAAGTTGTTGTTGTTGCTAAGGCTGAGGTGTAAGATGCTGTGAGTGAGAATGGTCCAAGTCAACCACCCGTCTTTGGAGAAAAAGTTGGATTTCTCTAATCATTTAAGCCGGAATGTAAATGTATATCTTGCAGAGGCTGACTATATACATGTGTTCCTTTCTATCTGTAGCTCAAAAAACGTTGTCCAAAGTATCATTTTGCATATCATGTTGAGCGTACCGTTTGAAGATGGTGACTTAACCGACGTTAGATCCTTTCAAAGAGTGAAAGAAGGAGGCGAAAAGAAGCAAGCAAAAAAGAACCTCCACACTTTGTTAAATAACAAGATTCAAAGAAAATGTGGTCTCGGAATTCGTCACAAATGTGTGAGGGGAGAGTCGATCTCTTGTAACTAACCACATAATATAATATTTACTATCTACATGGTGTTCTTTTCAGAACAATAAAAATATAAGCCAATTAGAAGGATATTGGATCGAAAAGTAACAAAATAAGAGTTTAAGCATAGACACTAAAGATGTTGAGGAATGAAAAATTGGGGAATATTCATAATACTGCATGCGTAGATATGAGAACTTTTGGATTCAAGTAAGAGTTTATAATTCGTAAATCTACAATATAGTTTTTACAACTCCAAGCGGAGATTGTTCTAGTTTTGCGATCTGAGCTCAAGAAAAGATGCATAATACCCTCCATTTATGATTATATGCTCCGTAATTTATGTTTTCTGCAAATTTGTCTAAATCCTAACGCTTTTGATTCATTACTTTACATTGATTTTTCATTTATATTTTTTTTAATATTAAAAATTTCGGA